CCCCCCAACTTGTCAAACACCAGCTCTGCATTCCCTCAGAGATCACACCATGCCAACTCAGAGCTGCATCATTTGAAACAAAGTCTTCGTACTCTAGCTTTGATTTTTGATCACTGTATGCCACTACCTGCTGTAATACAGGGCACCTCTCTCGCACAATTTGCTGGGTGTTCTTCAGGCTTCAAGGGGAAGACCTCCTACAGAAGAGTAGCATCTCTGGAGCTGCCAAAATCCAGTTCCCTTCCCCCCACCACCTCTGCCAGTAGTTAGCCCTGCTGCTCAAAGACAAACACAGTCCAAAACCCCATCCAACAGGAGTGGGATCTGCCAGGCGACCATACGGTGCACACACTGCATGCCCCAGATGAGTCATAATCTTTGGTACAACCAAAGAACAACATTAACATCCAACTGGAAGGAAAAAAACAAACATCTATCCTTCATATTTTGTTAAAATCCACACAACTGGTAATAGAAGATTAATTTGTCATGTTAAAACAATTCAGGAAAATACTTTTTGTTCTACACGTGCCCTGCACACATTGGCTGGTACTGAAGATGATTTCCAACAGTTTTGGAAAGCATCCCAGAACCCAACTCTCTCGTCTGCACGGAAGACGGTTGCTATGTAGAGCCAACACATCAAGACCGCAAAACAAGCTAAGGCTGTTCTAGAAAACAGAGAGATGATGCGATGTACCTACCTGAAACGGTAGGGGATTGCGTTGGGTTTCTGTTTTTACGGCACTTTTAGTGATTTCCTACGGAGCGTGCAATTCCTGCGCTTAGACCTGTCTCCACGAAGTTACAGTATTTTGAAGAGCATTGCTAACTCCTCAACCTGAATTCTCTCTCCAGCTGGAATTATTAATTACACAGTGAGCTTTCTGACATGATGCAAACTCACGCTTCATCAAGTAAGGCTAAGCTAATTATACACTGGACTCCATGCAGCAACTAGAGATGAAAGAGGGGGAACAACAGAACTGTAAGAAGCTACAGGAATCACAAAACAATCACTATTTGCAGCAGTGGCAAGCGACGCTTCAGAAGGAATCAGAACGAGAGGGATCCTACTAGACATCTTAAATCTTTCTGCCCGAAGCACCCACACGACGTGACCTTCTGATGTGATCTATGCCCACGAGACGCTTCGGACAATTCCACCTTCTGAATCCACAAAAGGTCTCTAAAGTTACGTAGAAAATACCAAGACAGGACTGAAAGCTGAAGGGAAAACATTGAATTACCATCTGCTAAAACCTTCCCTAACAACTTCAATTATATAACTCCAGTAAAACAGTCTCAATAAAAAAAAGCTAGAATCTTTATAAGCCTGTTCAAAACCTCAATATTAAATAGCCCTATCCTATATCAGAAGTTTCTAACAGTCCCCAACACCACTAACGCTATACAGAGAAGTCTTTGAAGGTTATGACATTGCCTTCTTTAGTACCAACCAGCTTCTATACCTTTGGAACAAAGGTAGAAAGGGATATAACTTACTAAAATTATATGAATGTTACCACAGCATGATGCTAGCGGTTTTTCCTTCAGCTCAACCAGGCACAGTTTTGCCGGTAAAACACCAAAATATTAAAGCTAGAGACAGAGTGCCATCTAGCGATGATCGGCCTATTTGCAGCGTTTCTCGGGGAAGGAAGCCCCTTTCTTCTAACAATCACTAATTTAATTCAAAGATGAAAGAACACACATAACCAAATCAAGCTACAGAAGCTGTGCTTTTATTCAAGCAGAAATTTTTAAGAAAAATGCAAACAGGAATTATGGGTTCCATATAAGTGTGCTCCCATGAAATGGAAAACACCATTTGCAATACTGTTTGCATTTACAGAAGCATGTAGCTATGAAAAAGGCTCAAAATAAATTACAAACCATAGGCAACATTTCATTTGCAAATGGCTAGATACAAAGTTCCCATGCTTTTTTTTTAAGCCTAATTCTACATAAAAAAAAAAAAAAAGAGCTGGTGACAGATAGCAACAAAACCCCAGCATCCTCGAGGACAGCTCTAAGCTCAAGTTTTAAAAAAAAATCTGTGTCTTCCTTTTTGAGCCCACCTGTACGTTCACGACCCTATCAGGTAAAACTAGCATCCTTCGCTTCCACCCTCCCTTTAAAATGCAAGCAAATGGGCAAAACCCAAGTGCTTTCTGCCACCGCAGAGCAAGCTCCAGACCAAACCACCAACGCTCTCCAAGGGCACGGGACGCCAAGCACTGGCTCGACACTGAGCTTCCTGTAAGCAGACCGCAGTGACTATGGTGCTGACCACACGGAAAACAAATCCGTCACCTGCCAGCACTTTCTAATATCCCCCCAGCCCCAAACCCTGCCGTCATCATTTTAGGTTCCTGGGCCTCCGTTAGAGGTCCGCCTTTCTCAGCCGTTTCTGTAGCGGTCTGAGCTCCCAGTAGCACTCTTGGAAAACCATCCCTGTGACTTCAGGTTTTTAAAGTTCACACATGGTTATTTCCCTAGCAATTGTCAGTTCCTTCTCAAGATCAGCTCTAGATCTCAAATGCTCTGTTCAACTGAAAAAAATTCACAAAAAAAAAACCACACACTGGGAACAGCAAAAGTTGAGGAATACAAGCATTTGCAACTCCTTCCTCCTCTTCAGTATTTACCACATTTGGGGGTATTAGACTTCCCACCTCTTACCTACCAAATCTTTGGAAAACCCAGTATCTTGCTCTGGATACACAGGCATTTTCTCCAGCTGCTCCCCTAAATCTCACCTATTCTCTATATGCAGTTCACTTCAGGTAACAACTTTTCCAGTTGGAGCACTTATCCTAGCCAGCTCGATCTTTAGCACAGCGCTGCTCAACTGCTCTGCGTGACAAGTGGTTTGTAAGACACTCAGTGACCCACAAAAAAAGTCTCTGAAAAAAGAAATCTCATCTGTATATTTATTCCGCTAATGATCACAACAAAGCAAAAATTAAAGTAAGGAAAATAAAAATAAAAATTAGGTTTTGGTTACTTGGTTTCTTGGTTGTGAAAACAAGGCATTGTGACAATGCTATGGAAAGTGATGCAGGAGGTCGTCTTTTTTTTCTTTGATATTAAAAAACGGTTACTACACAGCTTGAGGAATAGCCTCCCTCCCCAAAAAAATCCCTGGAGTAGAAGTCAGAGGAAGAGTGGCCTGGCCTGCACGCACTGATCTTGTAACTCTGGAGAAGGGTATAATTTCTTAGATTGATGATTCTGTGCTCACTGACAGATCTCTCTGGTTTGTATTTTTTTTAAATACACTCACTAAACAAAACCATTTAAAAATTATTTTGAAAAGTTCCTGCATTGTATTGTTGACTTTCACAATTATTGCATTCATTTAAAAAATCCACTTCGGTTTTTCAAAAGGTCAACTGGAAAAAAAATCTTTCCAGGAAAGTTATAATAGGGGACCACACCAGTGAGGCCAGGAGCTCTGGTCTGCAGCTTTGCTTCTACTACAAAATCTCTCTCTCAAAACAAGGGCAACCAAACCTGGTCCGTTCTGAGGGGCCATAAGTGTTAACAAATGGTAACGACCAGGATAGACTCTGGCTGCAAGCGAGACGCTCAGATGCCCCTTCTCCATTTTCTAAGCGGTAGCAAGGGAGCCTGAGCTCCCGCAGAGGCTAAGCCTTGCGCCCTGCCCACGCGCCCAGAGTCTGGCGGGAGGCTGCATGTTGGCAGCCCCCCGGCTGCATTAAATACTCCGTGTTCTCGATACCATCTAAAAGAGCAAGAACTGGGAAGAGAGTAAAAGTTTGGGGAACGCAACCCAAGACAAGACTGCAAGAGATGAGAAGTTTTTCCTGTAGCTAAGCTTATTTGCTGTGAGGGTGACAGAGCACTGGAACAGGTTGCCCAGAGCGGTTGTAGAGTCTCCTTCCCTGGAGATGTTCAAAACCCGTCTGGACGCGATCCTGGGCAACGTGCTCTAGAAGACCCTGCCTGCTTGAGCAGGAGGGCTGGACTAGATGATCTCCAGAGGTCCCTTCCAACCTCAACCGTTCTTTAATTCTGTGATTTCCTCCGGGAGCAGAGGGCAGGGTGGGACACACGCATTTCTGGGGAGCTTGGGTCCTGCTCTCCAAGCACTGACACACCTCTTTTCTCTCCAGAAGTGACTTAGATACTCTTCTGCCAGATAAGCGCTGAAGGAACGCAAGTAGAGCTTACCACACGCGTTTAAAATAGTCCTAGAAAATACTTAGGAACTAACCTGCCGAGGGCTGTACTCGAGGCAGCACTCGCCCTGCGGAGGACCCTGCCCACGATCGGCGTGGGGACGGGGACTCCAAAGCAACAGAAGCAAATTCAGCTGAACATACAGAGGAGGGAAGTCTCCAGGGGCAGAATGAAAGGGTCGGGGAACAATGCAAGGAGGACATCCTGGGGACAGCAGGACACCAGCGACTCGCTTGTGTTTCCAATTAATAAAAGTGGAACAAATTCCTGAGTCTGCTGTGGACTTCTTCCCCCCTCCACCCCTTAAACTTCTGCAGTGGTTTTAATTCCTCAGAAACATTTTCTTCTCATTAGGCTACATAAAAGCATTAGCAGTTTGTTTAATCTTATTCTGACTTTTGTAATAAACAAATTAACTACCAAGCAATGCAAAAAAAGAAAAACAAAAAACAAAAAACCAAGAATGGTGCAACAACTCCATGGAAAAAGGTCAAAGCAAGTTTGCAAGACTAATACCTGCTTAATAGCTAACTGACAGAGTTCGTAACTTCAAGCTTTGTGCTTCGCAAAGTTTGTCTGTGTATTAGCAAATGGCACTTAAA